AACGTGTTAAAGTGCGTTGGTATTGAAGATTTAGTGTTGAATGAAATTAAGATCAGTCTGTATACTAATAATGAGATATCGTAAAATAATTCTGGATGGAGTGTTATTTTTCCCACAACTGATTTGAACTTCTATTTTTTTAATATATATTTTTTTTACATAAATAATATTTATAACTATAAGAACTTAAAGGCCAAGTATACAACCCTTTTAGAAAAAAACAAAACACTAATGAAGATTTTAACTTAATATGTACAATGCTACCTATACATGGATATGATTGTTGAATGCACATGAATGTATTGATTACTTCCGATTATGAAAGATACGGTAATATTGTAAATTCTTTATTGATTTTGGTTGGCTATAGAATTAATGTATGTAGAAAGATGATTTAAAATATGTTCATAATCAACTTAAAAATGTCACTAGAAATATATAACTATTAAAGTACATCATCCATTAATTCACATATATAATAAAAGTATAAAGTTAAATTACATCCCACATAATAAAATAGAATTTTTTTTGAAAATGCAAATAAATAAAAATAATAATATCAGAATTATATCCAATAATAGAATTCCTTTTTAACGAGTAAGATGGTAATTTGTAATTAAATATTAAGTGGAGGATATTTTTGTCTTCTTATAAAAAATTATACAACTTAATCGATTAAGTTTAAGAAAACTGTAGCTTTTTTAAATCAATTAATCTTTTGTCTTCATATTCAAAAAAACCTGCTTTCTCTAAAAAGATAAAATAAACTTATTTTCGCTTTTTATCGAATCAGACAAAGATAGGATGTTTTAATGAGTTATAAGACAAGCTCATAACAAATGGAGATACCCTTAGATGAGTCTAAGATGGCGAAATGTATAATAGTGTAAGACGAAACTAGTTTATTGAATGTGACTAGGAACAAGAACTCTTGGAAGAGATTGATAGATTCTAAGGTGAGATTGAGAATTGGACGAACTAGTCCATCTCTAATAGTGGAAATTATCGTTCAAATTGAAAGTTATTCTTTGGTGATACATTATTTTATAATGTAGTAAATTAAGCTTAAGGTTCTACAAGAAATTATTTATGTATATTATTATGGTGTAGTCGAATCGAAGTATGACGATTTAGTAAAATTGGTTACTACCAGTGAGACACTTTTGATGTTAATGTAATTAAAATATCAAAAGTACTAAGAAGGTGTTAAGAGGGTAAAGTAAGAAAGAAATAAGGAGAAGTGTTTATTCAGGAAATTGTAGTAGGCTTAAGTTATTATCCATCCTTCAGTGAGTTTTAAATATTTTCGTTGAGATTATAATTACATTGCAGACGATTTATGTATGTCATGTGTGACAGGAAAACAATTGTTAGGAAAATTCTTGCTAACATAGTATACGGGCAGTGAATATATGGTCGGACAAGAAAATTCATGAATGAAAATTGTAAGTCTTCTAATTAAATTGAAATAACAATTGTCCACATTATCATCGTCTTAGATAATAGGTTATGAGTAGGGATTAAGGTCAAGATTAGAAGTATTATTTATAAGATTGTTAGAAGACAGTGTCAGAGTTAGAGTTACGAGATTACGGTCGAAGATCTCCATGTCATGATCGTTGTGATATCGACGACCTCCTTCTTTGATATACTAGAATTGACTATTAAAATGTGTGTTTGGCCTATGTTAAAGAATCTACGATCTAATCAGAGAAAACATCCAAATTCGTCGTAGATGTTCATTTCCAAGATTAATGAGGATAATATACGATGTTTAAGATATGTACAATATGAAAATGCAAGTGTGCATCTCATGCTGATGTCGTGTGAACACGTTTTTTGGCAAGAAGGTTCGCCTTATCAAATTCATGGATAAACACCTTTGTCAAAAAATGACTAGAAGCCTGTACGAGAATATAATGAGGAAGAGAACAGCAGCAAATGTGAGAAAAACTATCTAAAATGAATTTAACTTAAAGATCGCAATAAAATTAATAGTTTCAAAATAATTATAAAAACATTAACGCTCTGAATTATAAAATAATAGGTACTGCTCAGAATATATTCGCGAGTAATTGAATTGGTAGGAACTATTCATTTCCTCTAAGGACATTATTTTGATAATAAAGAAAGGTGTAAAAGGTGGAAATTAGAATTTTTAAAATTCTTCTCCTCTAATTGAATTAGGCTTGTGTCCCTTGAATTTGGCTCGCTGACTAGATGAATTTAGATGAAAGAGCCTGAATTAAAACACAATCAATACCGATGAATATAGAAAAGGAGAAAAATAACTGAATGCAAGCCAAAGTTTAACTGCTGATAGCCACAATTACGAATGAAAGAAGTAAAACGTGAATGAATGGATTAAGAGGAAATTCATGAAAAAAATTATGTATGACTTTCACTTAGCTTGAGAATTTATTTAACTATTTAACTTTCACCTATGTATTCCCTGTTTGGCATTTCCAATAAATTAAGGGCAAAATCAAGCTTCAAGCAGTTTAAATTATGCTTATTTGTCCTTATGGTCCCCCTAAACTGCTATTTGCCCTTTCTGTTCTTCACAATTGTAATATGGTATCAGATCCACTATATTTAAAAAAGTGGAAAAAATAATAAAAAGGAAAAAGAAAACTTATAGTATCAGAAATTGGTAGAGCCAGTATATAGGGGAGTAGAATGCTGCAATACTTTATGCAGAGGCAGTAAGCAGATGAAGTATCTTAGGCCATTTGAATATCAGAAGAATGAGCAGTAAGCGAGTGGCTTTATTTTCTTTTCTTTTTTTTTTTTTTTTTTTGTTTTTATTTTATTTAATAGTGTCTCAAATGTTTTGGGTTTATTTGCCAAATTTAGGGGGTGTGACAGGGTTCTCTCGAAAATTTTTGTATTAGTGTACAATTGATATAGTTTCTAAAATATAAATCTTATAATTAAGTCTATCCCTAGAATAACTTAATAACTGTTTCTCCCACTCAAATAAAAAAAAAAAAAAAAAAAGAAAATCTCTAGTCACGATCCTAACGAAGAGTAAATGTGTCAACGATATGTTAAAATATAAATGTGTTTTCAAAATGCATTTTTTGTAGATATATAGGCAGGGTTTTGACACATAAATTGTGAAGTGCAGTTCTACTATGAGCCGCGAAACAGGGGCAGCAGTTACCCGTTCACCTGCGCAGCAGTTTTGGTGTATTTGGAAAGTGAAAGCAATCAATGAAGAGCATTGCTGGCGCAAGCAGGCGACCAACCGAAAACACATTGTGGTCATGGAGTCAGAGCAAGGTCATGCTTGCCTCAGTTATCTTTACATTTAGGGCTTTCTGTTTTGTTCCGAGTTAAAAATTAAATTTTGGCCTGGAAATATGTATCTTCATGGAAAAATATTTTCTCTCGAAAAAATGATTTTGTCAAAGAACTTCTTTTCGCGTTATTTGGTATGTAATATTGAGAAATTCGTTAAAAAATATTCGAAGTTTTGTTTTATCTTCATAAACCATAAAAAAATATTGAATGAATAATAGAAATTTTATTATTTTAAATTTGTGTTGTATAAATATGAAAGAAAGAATGAAAAAAAATATAATTATGAAGACCCGCCGATAATATTAATAATAATAGAAATTTTATTATTTAAAAATTTTGTTGTTAAATATGAAAAAAATGAAAAAAAAAATATAAATTATGAAAGCCGCCGATGGCTGGTAGTGGTGGCCGCCGGTGACCAATGGTGGTGATTGGCGGTAAATGATGACTGGTGGTAGTAACTATGATGATTAATAAATTAAAAAAATATGAATTTATAAAATTTGCCAATGTCAGAAAAATATTTTACTCTCTTGAGAACTATAAGTTGTTTTCCTTAAAAAATGACTTAATTTTCCTTCGAAAAATATTTTCTATTGACTTATTTTCTTAAACGCTCCAAACAACGGAAAATTGTGAAAAATATTTTCCTACAAGTTAATTTACGAAAACAAACAGAGCCTTATGGATTAGTTTTTCGCTTTTTTAATTATGGTGTTCTATAGTATATAATTAAAGTGATCAAGGTCTCTTGAACTCACTATATTGATGCAGAATGGAAGTGCAGCAGAGAGCTCCAGCGCCCAGCAAGCAAGTAGCAGCACGCCATGGAAGATGAAAAAGAAGAAGAAGAGAAGGATTACGAGTACGGCTTTTGATTTTGCAAATGCACCTGAATCCATAACATGGGCACTCACTAATGCTGAAAATAATGAGTGGAGTGCTTTTCATGGTGATGAAACTGGTGTTCCAAATGACCTCAAGATTCATTGGAATCAAATTTTTATGATTTCCATCAAAAATTACCAAAATCATGCACCAATTCCCTGAGCCAGGTACCCTCTTCACTAATCTTGCGAATGATACAAAAAGTGAAGTCCTGAACCTGATATTTGATTTAACATGAAAATGCAGGTTTTGGATTTAATTGATGCTGAAATGAAGACTGAAGAGTGATGGAAAATCGATGAATTGGCCAACTGCTATTTAATAGAAGACGAATAATAATAAACTTTTCAAAGACAATTTCGTTCGAATGTCTTCAGTTATAATATTGTAAGTCAAAGTTAACTTCTATACATTGCTTGTTTGTTAAGGATGTAGATTGCAACCTACCTTTGAAAAACTAGCATGCTCATTTCCATTTATGACATGATTTTCTAAACTAAAGCTCTCTATCGTTCAGGAAAACTAAATTTCAGGGTCTTTTTTTATTTTCTTTTTGGTGTGGTTTTGGAAGAGCGACACCACACCAATTCTGGAGCAAAACACTACTGCTTGAACAAAGCCTACATGGTACCTAATCATCTTTTTGTTCATCACTCAATCGCAGGCTATTTCAAACAAAGCCTAGTTTAGTCAAATAAAATATCATGTTACCTAATGCACGCATCTAAAACAAAATATTTAATGAACAAGATTAGCAGCTGCAATATTGCAGCAACCCACAAACTACCAAAAATATTTTCAAGCAATTTTTGGCATAAAATCATGATATATTTCTTCAAAAGAGAATGCAATATGTAAATGTTAAGCCAATCTTACCTTACATTCACCCAGTCCATGCCATAAACAGACATCAAATATAAGTAGACATCTATAGATAGAATTTTTCTAGAAGCCCCATTCCTTACAGCCAGATAATCATAACTTCTCACCGGCCATTGGGCTCTGCAAGCCTAGGCCTGCACATCACCTGTTCAAGAAACTTGGAAAGGCGCAAATGCTTTGTAGCCCATTGCTCAGCCAATTTCTGCTCCTTGGCTTCAGCATCTCTTCTCAATTCAGCTAATTGTTCCCTGTATTCTGCTTCGATCCTATCAAGAGAAGCCTTCTGTTCTTCCCTAAGAGCCTTGATCTTCGACTCTATCTCTTCCATTTTCTCCCTCCTCCGGCATGACTTCTCTGACTCCAGCTGTAGCTCTACCCTTCGTAGCCTCCAGGCAGCTTCCTTCTTGTGTGCTGCCCAAGCACGATGCCCTTCTTCCAACTCTCTGCAACACTCTGCCAATTCAGATATCATCATATTCTCACATGTGGACACTGATCCATGAGGTGGCAGACTGCCCAAAACAAAAGAAGTATTATCTGGTCCTCTTTCAGGCTGCAGCCAGGGAATTGGAGGAGGAGGAGCTGCAACTGTTGATGGTGAGAGGCTTAGGGTTACAGAAGGAGAGGGTGGCCTAACAGCAGAAGTGCTGTTGGAAGTAGAAAGCCATGGGGGAAGCATAGTTGGTGCAGGAGTAGGGGGATCAGTATGTAAAAAGCCCCCATTGGAAGTGGCCATGACAAATGCTGGAGCAGGGCGCTCTTTCACTAGCTTCTCTGCAAAAGTCTCCAGAATCCTATCGTACTTGCCCTCGTCAATTGGTTCTATTGTCTTGTTATTTTCCTTTTGCTCTCTCTGCTGCTTCTCCTTGAACACTTCCCACCACTTTCCAAGTCTCTTAGCAGTTCTTCCTGGAACTTCAGCTGCAATTTTCTTCCATTTGTTACCGTGTTTAGCCTGAAGTCGGATAACAAGACGCTGCTCTTCTTCAGTAAGTGATCCTTTCTTTATACCAGGCTTGAGGTAGTTCTTCCACCTTTCTAAGCAGGATTTGGCATCCCTGTTTAGGGGTGTGTTCATGCGCTGTGATACAAGGTTCCACTCCCTTGGACCATATTGCTTAACATATGCACGTAACAAGGCGTCCTCTTCAGCTCTCCAACGCTGCCTCTCCTTCATTTCCATGTAAAAGCTCCACTGCCCATTTCCTTGAACTCTTCATAATGTATCTGAAAAGTGCCAGATAAAATATCATTTTATGTAAACCAAGAAATAAAAGGACCAATTACTCTAATGATTCCAAGATTCCATCAGAAAGATATGAAGCCAGCAAAAGAAAAAAAGGGAGGCAGAATTATCAAAAATTGGAAAGTTAGAAAAGTTTGTTTCCACATTGCATATTTTATTTAAAAGACAACCACCACCATTAACAATGAAGGTATGAAACTTAAATAGTAGTTGGTTTCATGCCCGCAAATATCTGCCAGATACTTAACAGGAGCATTCATTCAACAGATATACAGCCTAACTATAGAGGTTAAACACCAAGCAAAGGCTGTTGATAAAGATTTTAACTGCGCTTATCAACCCACTAAAAAGATGACAGAAACAAATAATCAGGGGCAGAAACACCTCCAATACCCTCATCTCTTTCTACTTCTATCTCAGGTACAAGCGCATAATTGGCAAAACGAATTTTTACCCAGGCACCAGCAAATAATTGCAAACAACAGTTGATCAAATAAATCAGTGGGTATTAACATCTAGATTTTCCAACATGAATAGAAAATGATGTGAAGCAACGAATATGACAAGAATGAAGTCCACAAAGTATCTAAGGTATAACATTAAACACAGTCAAAGAAAATGACAACAACATTTTGAGTACATCTCAATCAATATATTTATGCAGACGTACAACATAGCATTTAACGTGCTAGACATCAATAATGCACAATACACAGAAAAACCAGTTGGTGCTCATTAGCAGTGCTTATAGTGAAAGAACATAGCATAACAAATTCAAGTGGCCCCTGCAATTAGATTTTGCCTAAATTTGTAATTAAAATCATATGTTAAATCATGTGGATCTAGAGATAAATTAAGAGCACAACAAGTACGAAATACATATTGTGCTTACAAAATATGATCTTCTGAATGACCTACCGGGGATATCACAATCAAAAGCAGTGAGGACATGGTGCTCAAATCATGTAGATTTTAAGACCAACTGTTAGAAATTGCGGAGCTATTCCAGAATGCAATCAATCTACTGTTGCAGACATACCACAATCAGTTACATGGGCGAAATGGTCAAATTATACAATCATCAGCAAAAATTGGTGCAAAGAATTTAATTGGAATTGTTAGACCCACATCTCAATCACTAAACCACTGATTAAAACAATTTGTTAGATCCAAATAATATGCCCAAGCCCAGCAAGAAACCAAATTGGACAAGTGGCTCGAGGGAAAGGAAAATAATAACGAAAATTATTAACCGAAAGTGTGAGAATTGAAATTAGAGCCAGCTCGAATGGTAATTCACCCACAAAAATTAAATATTTGGAAGATATCAACGGCCAATATTCCGTTGTCTGATGAAACTTGCTCAGAGTGACCAGATGCGATTGCCAATTCCTGTGTTTATAAATTAACATTCCCAAATTCCCAAAACAGAAGCACAATAAACAAATACTAAAAATACTAAAGTCAAAATTTACAACTTTAAGTAGAATAGGACGGATAAGGTATTCCTTCGATGGTTTGAGCCATAGATTCATAAAATAAAGAAATCAAAATAAAAGCAATTTTCTCTCAGCAAGCAAAATTATCCCAATGTAGAATTAAAAAAAAAAACACCTTGCTCATGGAAAAGAAACTTTTTCATTAAAAAATGATGGGAAATGGAAGCAAGTGAAAAGGCTTACATTTTATCATCAAGTACTTGAAACCGAGATTCTTCGTCGACGCATCTCCTGCTCGACACCAGCAATGAAACTCGATAAATAAAAACGTAAGCAGCTAAAGGCCTCAAACCCTAGAGAGAGAAATAGAAATCCTGGCTAGAGAGAGAAACAGAACAGAAAAGAAACTAGAAAGAGAGACAGTATGAGAACTCTTCAAAAATAAGCAGAGAGAATCGAGAGATTAGACTAGAGAGCACAAAAACAAAGCAACAAGCTTAACAGTGAAAATCTTGAGAAAGAAAGATCTGACAGAGCAGAATGGAGAAAAAAGGAAGGCACGCCAATGGCAAGGGAAAAAAAGAGAGTTCTAAATACTGACGATTGTATACAATGTGATTCCGTTAGTTCCACCTCCTCCTCCACCAACAGCACCACCACTACTAACACCGCCAATAGTTACTTACCCAACATATAATAATACACACTACACAGTGCAATAGAGAAACTGACAAAGTCAAGCTTAGAGAGAGAGAGAAAACGAACGAAAAAGAGCAACGAGTAGAGAGAGTCAGAACTAGAGGGAAAGAGGTGCATTAATGCTGCAAGGAAAAGCATTGGCTCGATTTCAGCGCTTAAAATGCGCCACCATTATTCATTTCGCTGCTTTCTGTTTGGAGTTTTCTTTTTCTTTTTATTTTTCTCTCCCTTTTTCTTCTCTGTTTATGGTGAGCGATCCCACACACACTTATCTTCTAATAATGTTAATAATTGATGCATTCCGTTATTAAAAAGACACGCCTGTCATCTAAATAGAAAAACAGCAAAATCACAGCCGTAGAAACATCTGACTCACACCAGAGTCAACGAATTCGTCAACATATAATAATGAATAGAGACGGCACCTGGATGGAGTGAGTCTGCGAATGAAACACGATTACTACGCCGGTTTTACATTATTGGGAAGCGTGACAGATTACGCGCACGTGTCATCTAACGTGGATTAGGTACTATGTGGTCCCCAACGACATAAACTTGTAACATTAGCGATAATAAAGCTCGAAAACAACAAACTAATCATCGTTGAAGATTAAGATTAGGAATTAGCGTACGGTAATGGTCAACGAAAGTCTCTGTGCTGTTTATTAAAAAAACAAAAAGAGAGAAGGCCAAAATTCCGGCGCACAGTAGCAAAAGAAAGCGCCATCGTGAAAAGGGAAGGAGGACCAAGTTTTTTCGTAATCTGAGGCGAAATTATTTTCCAGTTTTCATTTTTAATTATTTTGATTAGAATTAATATTTGAATTTCTTTTTCGGTTCACAATCTGGGTGCCTCTGGTCACTGTTTGTTCTTTTTTCGCTTTGATGCAAAACTGTGCGGACGTGACTAGAGATCAACTGATTAGAGACATAGTAAAGAGTTACAGTGTAATAATGACACACCATCCCACTTAACATCTAACCGTCCATCGAAAAGATGATGAACTAGTGATGCTAGACGAGCCCATTCGATGAGTCCCAAGAAAATTCTGATTCGGATTACGTCACGGGATGGATGATAGTGGAATGGGACAGTGTTTTGTGCTCTGAGGAAAGGGTACACGGAAATAGGATGGGGAAGAGGGTAGGAGATAGAAGAGGATCTTTTGGTATGATTAGGAAAGGGAATGGGGATGCCACGTGGAAGAGAGGTGGGACCGAAGGGTGAGGCGGAGGGGACTGTAGTCCGGGTTTCGCGGCACAAGGAGACGAGAGTGATAGAGACGGGACGTTCTGGTACAGTCAGAGGGCGCGAGCAGGCTGTCAGTGATACGTTACGTCGGTTTTTTCCCCTCAGCTCTCTCTTTCTTCCTTGCGTCTGGTTGTACATTCGGTGAAGGAGGGTGGGCCATTTTTCTCTGTCTTTTTTGGAAAAAAAAAAAAAAATTCTGGGTTTTAACAGTACCAAAATACTACAATTCACACCAATCAGACCAGCCAGTTGGCTACAACCATTCTCCTGTTTTGGGTTTTACCCCTGCAACTGCAAGACTTAATTTTGTTATCGCTCCGCCTTTCTAGTTATATTTCTCTGGTCATAGGCCTTTAAACGAGTTAAAAGAGTCTGAGAAGAGTTCAATTCGAGTTTTTCTTTAAATAAACTTACAATTTTTTTTTTTTTAAAAAAAGGTTGAATTTACACCCTCAATTTAGATTAAATATACAAAAAATCTATAAACGCTTTTTGGATCAAAAAATTCATAAACTTGGCATTTTATTATCACTTAGCTTAATTTTTCACCAAGAGTTAATGCATGCCATGAACAAAAAAGAAATAAATCAATTAAATTTTTTTTTTCTCTAGTAAATAGCAACAGTTACTATTTCACTTAGCCCAATCTCCTTGGCCAAAATTCCCAACTTTAAACTAATATCCCTAAATCTATCATCTGTTAAACGAAATTTACCAAGTTGGAGAAGGAAAGCCACAAGAGAAAGAAAATGAGTTATGGTACTGCGATGATGTACCTTGACAAAAAAAAAACGAAAATACTATTAATAACCAAAAAATACTTTCTTCAATCAATGCACAAAATCATATATTAATTTTTAAAATAAAAAAGTCCAATTTTAGTAGACAAAATCAATCCAACAGTAGTGATTATGCAATATTTAAAATAAAAAAAAAATCCAATTTTACTGGTGACTTACCTTGATTACTATAATCCTGCATTGAACCAGTCTTTAAATTTTTTCCAGTATCGTACAAACTTGCAATTAACTGCTAGTTATAGATGGTTAAACTAGACTTTTAGGTGGAAAATTTATTATATTTTTCCTCTCAAAATCAAGCAAAGAGACTATGTATATTCTCTAAACTCGTAAGCACCTTCTTTCAAGTCATAAAATTAGCTTTTAATGGCTTAAGTTTAAATTTGCTTTCCACGGGCATTGACCTGGGAAAATTGAGCTAAGTGAAAATAAAATACCGCTCGTGAATTTTTTGACCTAAAAGTTCATTTATAAGTTTTTTGTTCTTTTAGTTAAGTTGAGAGTACAAATCGAACCTTTTTCCTTTTTTTTTTTTTAATATATATAAATTGTAATCCAATGAAACTCAAGCTAATTAACAATTTAAATAAGTTAAATCTGAATCAAGCTTAATCTTAAATATACTTTTAATAAGCAACTTGCTCAACTCATTTATAATTTTATAAATTTTTTGCATATATATTTATAAAAAATTATCCTTTCTAATTACGATGTAATAGAAAATAAAAATATATATAAAAATAAACTTCTAAATGATTTTTGAACTGAAATTTTTAAAAAATAAGAAAGTCTTCGTTAAAAAAAAAAGAAGAAAAAAAGCAGAGTGCAAAAATAAATACTCCATTTGTCTCATTTTGTTTGCTTGTCATTTTCTTTTTGATGTCCTAAAATGTTTGCAAGATTTTTAAATTTAGACATGTAAATAATTATTTTTTCTATAATAACATTTATAATTGCTCATTGAATAAATAACTTTTTGTATCTTAATGAGTTATTAGGAGTAAAAAATAGCAAAATAATTTTTATTGACTAAATTTTTAATATGCGTATTTTGTCAAACTATGCAAATAAAACTCGGAGCGAGTATAATTTAAAAAATGTAAAATCTGTTATCCTAATAAACTAAATTAAGATAAATGAATTTGGTTGGCAAGTGAGTTTCTCAACTTCATTAAATCTTGTAGTCAATTCCTAAATGATTTTTTTATTTTTTTCAATCTAGACCGGAGATGGTTCACTTTTACACCCACATTATCAACTTACCACTAATTGTTTTTAAAGAAAAACAAAATCTTTACAAGTTTTTTTCTTTACGTTCCAATTTGCATCTATCTTTTATGCTATAATTACATTAGCAAAGATATGTATGTTTTAATTTCATTTCCGGTTATACCGATTTGATTTCTTTTTTGGTAAAACCTATTTGATTTCTTTATCAAATAGAAGATCATACTACCTACCTATGTTCTATTGCTTTTTTTTTTTAAAAGGCTAATAATAAAAGTGGAGATAAAAGGTTTTCCGCCGAATATATAAATTTAACTCTGAACTTTATTAATTTAACCTCTTGACACCCTAAACTTTTATTTTAATCTATCAAACACTTCAATTTTCAAGTTTATTTTATTGAACACTTCAATTTGCAAAATTAGATCAATTAAACATTTATTAAAAAGTTAAAATTTATGAAAATTATTGTTCTAAAAGCTAAAAATCATAAAAATTATTAATATTAATATCGAAAAGTGTGTAATATTACAAAAATTTACAAATTCAAATATACGATAGGTTATTCGCAAAGTTTAGGATGTCACAAAGTTAAAGTTACAAAATTCAAAGATGAATTTATATATTCAGCCAAAGGTTTTCGGTTCACATCTTTCATATTATAATTAATTTATCATTATTTTGGTGAATGTTAGAATAGATAGCTACGTAAACAACTATGTCATCCACTGTGTTCTTATATTTAACAGCCTCTCTAAAAAAATAAAAATAAAAATATTATTAGAAACACTTTCGAACAAAAAAACCAAGCATATAACAATTAAAAATAAAAAATAAAAGGATATTATTATGAAAACTATCAATTTCTCAAAAAATTCGTCGGTTTTAACGTAAAAGACAATATAATCCATCTTATTATGTTTAAGTTAATTGGATTTAAAAAATTCTTTTAATTTTCTTACTCATTATTATCAATAATTTAGCACAAAAAGAAAAAGGATCCACGTATGTGTTCATTGACCTAAAGAAAGCTTAGGATAGAATGCTGATGAAAGCACTTTACTAGATATTAGAGAATAAGGGAATTCATAACAAGTACACAAACACCATAAGAGATATGTATGAAAATGCAGTCACCAGCATGAGAATAGCTGGAGGAGGAATAGAGGAGTTCATCGTAACAGAGTTGGGTTACATCAAAGCATTTGCTTTGAATCACGTGGGGGTGTGAGTCCAGCATCCCTACCTATGGTGCCACACCATGGCAACTCTATAGATGAAGTAAGACTATTGGAGGCAAGAATAGCATATTGGATGGTATATGGACCGAGAATATGAGAGGGAAGACCCAGCGTAATGCTCTCCGTCGTCCCGGGGCCAGTATGCGGGACCAAGCCCTAGTGAGCTAGGATGTGGATATCATGTTCTATCAAGAGGAACTGATGTCTCCATAGAGAAGGAGCTCTATGGACACTGTAGAACTGATGGCCTATAGTGCGCATCTCTCCTGTAGTGAAGGTTTCGGTATAAGCAGGACTATGCTGTCCGAGATGCCCGAAGACATTGAGCCCATATACAGTTGTGCGAGATCCTTATATATGCATTACAAGATGAGTCCTACAGTCGAATAGGATGCAAAGATCCTTCGAATATGCATGGCTGGCCTAGGTTATGAGCTAAATCTAAGCGCCACACGCGTGCTAAAAGCTCCAACGTTCTGGCACTGTGACAAATCCATACTTAAAGAGGATGTTCTTTTTGCATGTTATTTGTGATGACATTGTCATAATCGATGAAACTAGTGAGGGATTAAACTAAAAGTTAAAACCATGGAGGAGAACTCTTAAAGATGAAAGTTCTAAGCTAAGCAAGAGTAAGACGGAATACATGCACTGCGAATTTGGTTTAAGGAAGAAGTAGGAAGGTGATGCTAGATTAGATGGTACGACGGTGTCCAAATACAATCAATTTAAATAT